GAGCTGGGGGGCTGGGACGTGGGGATGTCGATCCCAGGAGGCCTGCCAGGTCCGGCTCCTGCACTTGCTGGCAGAAGGCTCCTGGGAAGGCGGGCCTGGCATCCCAGGCTGGCAGCTTCTGCCACTGCTGCTCTGCCGTGGCCCTAGCTCTGGGCCCGCTCGGGTTCCTGCGAGGAGGGTGGTGGTGCTGAGCAAGTGTCCTGGCGCGGCCTTGCCCAGCTTCAGGTGCGTAGCACGCCTCGGGACCAGAGAGCTGCAAGGAGGGTGGAAGAGGGTGTCTGCTGGCCCCCGCTGAGGGCAGCCCCACCCGTGGGGAGAGCGACAGCCACCCTGGCTGCCATGACCTTGGACGCAGGAGGGCTTGGTCAGCCAAACCCTGGTGCCCTGCCTGGAAGCCGCCTTGGCCTACAGGGGCCCTCCCCAATGGTCTGCGCGTCTTCTCGTGCCCCAGAGCCATGGGGAGACCCACTTCCCCTGCTCCCCTGGGGGTGGGATTTGGCGACAGATCCTCGCTGGCTGGAAGGCTCCCTTACGGGGAGGCTGAGCACACTGGGCACCTTTTCTCATCCTCTGTCCTGCCTGCAGACGCTGCGGGTTACTTGAGTTAGGTCAGCTCCACCGGCTGCCCTAGGTGGTGCGCGGGCCGCAGGAGCCGGGGGAAGGTTGGACCTGCCAGCCCTTTGCCAGGGCAGCACGAGTGCACAGGACACTCCCTATCGCCTGTCCCAAGCACCCGTGACAGGTGACTTCTCCAGGGTAGAAGAATCTGGCACGCTCTGGGGACTTGGATTGTGACCCCGGAGGCTTGAGAAGACCTTCAGCAGGTAACACAGACCTGCACTGCCACCTAGCGACCAAGGGACCATAGCCTGTCCTCACCTGCCGTTTCCATCCCCTGCTGTCTGGAGGGAGCCAGGTGATTTCCGGCTCCAGGCTTAGTGCCGCCAGGAGCACACCTCCAGCTTCCCACTGCCAGGCCTGCAGAGGGATGCTTCCCTTAGGGCTTTGGGATTCAAAATATATGTTAATTAAAACACTTTCTCACCACCTTTGTTTTCCTTGAGTCGAGTCTCACTGTCCAGGCTGGAGTGCAGTGACACGCTACCACTGCAGCCTCGACCTGCTGGACTCAGACAATCCTTCCACCTCAGCCTTCCAAGTAGCTGGAACTACAGGTACATGCCACCACGCCCAGCTAGTTTTTTGATTTATTGTAAAGACGAGGTCTCACCAAGTTGGCCAGGCTGGTCTTGAACTCCTGGGCATAGGCATTTCTCTTGCTTCGGCCTCCCAGAGTGCTGGGATTTTAGGCTGAGCCACTGAGCCCGGCCTTTTCCACTTTTTAAAACATTCTTGTGGCTGGGTACAGTGGCTCTTGTCTGTAATTCCAGCACTTTGGGAGGTGGAGGCAAGAGGATTGCTTGAGCCCACTAGTTCCTTTTT